AGAGAGAGCCAAAGAAAGAGAGAGAAATATGTGCATGTAGTATATATGTATATATACATATATGTATCTATCTGTATATGTGTGGATATATATGAAGGCATTTCCAAAGTGTTCCAGTGTTTCTGTGATGTGTGTAGTTTCCATGGAAGTGGACTCATCATCATCAGCAGGAGTGGATTTCTGCTGCTGGCTTCTGGTTCTTGTTTCTTTGTTACTATGGAGACTGCCTAGAAAGTGGCAGGAAAGCCAAAAGTTTAAAGAACAGTGATTTGGTTACAGAACATAGTTACAGCCATATTTAACCATAGCTAGGTGTTCCGTAACTCTGCATTTTTGAATTTGAAGTTATTTTATGAGGCAAGTTTACTTTTTTGAATAGAGCAGGTTTTATTTTTATTTTTTTGGTGCTAGGGATCGAACTCGGGACCTTGTGCTTGCAAGGCAGGTGCCGGAACCACTGAGATAAATCCCTGGCCCTAGAACAGGGTTTAAAGCTTTATTAAGTAGTTTAAACACTGTGAATTTTAAAAAAAGAAACCAGAAGTGCCACAATTTCTGAACCATCAGTTTTAAATGGGGTTTGAAAGTGGGGGTTGAAAGGTGTAACCTGAAATGGGAAGAGCTACCGACAGGGTCCAGGACAGCCAACACGGGAGGGAACAGAACAGTGAATGGCTTACTAATGTGGCACATTTTATCTTCAGAGCATAGCCATTTAGGTGATTTTCACAGCTTATTTATACCCATTTTCCAACTGAGTAGAAAAGCTCCCCAAAACCTTGGGTTTAGGAAATAAGGAAAATAGAAGGACAGGAGAAGTACACTTACATTTTAATTGGAGTTTGAGGAGCTGGAGAGTTAGTAAATCTCGACGATTCCACAATTAAAAAGCAATAGACACCCCCTGCCCCAGCATGTATATATGGATTACTCATGGCAGGAGAGGAGAGGTGGAACCAGAACATAAAAGATAGAAAAGTTATTTAGCAAAATTGTAGTTTTTCTTTGAGGTCCGTATTCAGTCAGGATTCTTTGGTTTACATGTGTCAAAATCTAAGTTTGAACTACTTTAGGCAAGAACTACAAGGGCAAGAATGTAGATTGACCTGAAATCAGAAACCCCAGGAAAACTAGAGCTTCTGTTTTTTCAGTCTCCCACCTGTGCTTTTTCTGATTTGGTTTGCTGTATCTGCACCTCCCTGGGTCATCTTTTTTGCCGGGTGGGCTTCTTTGTGTTCGCAGAAACCGACTGCCAGCCATTCCTACTCTACCTTCCAGCTTCAGTAGCAGCGAAGGTCCAGTGTGTCTTGTGTGGATTCCTCCTGTCTCCAGCTGTGGCAGCAGAGCAGGGCTCTGTGACTGGCCCAGTGTGGGGCAGGGAAGCCCACCCCGGCCAACTAGACCTTGGTGACAAACTACTGAGATCTGCAGCTGCAGCTTTCCTTTGGGCAGGAGGCTCTGAAGGGGAGGAGACAGGGGCGGTTCCCCAGAGCAGTGGTAGAAGATGCTGTTCAGGTGGAAATAAACAAGAAGAGATTTTCCACTAGTGGTCTTCTGAGAAAAAAATAGTTAACTATCATTCGGTTCTTTTCATTGTAGCAATCCAGGAAACATTTTGTAGAGTTAGGTTTTGAGAGAAACCCAAGGTTTAAAAACTTTACAATTTAGTGCTTCCTTTATGCCTGGTTCTGCTGTAGAACCTTTTTTCATTTTTGGTACCGGGGATTGAACTTGGGACCTTGCGCTTGCTGCTGTAGAACCTTTTATATATGTTATCCTTTGGATCGCTGTATTTGTTAGAGGTGTATACTTGAGGTAATAAGGAAGAGCTCTGGAAAGTTGAGGTGATCACATGACTAGGGAGAGGCAGAGCCAGAATTCAGATAATCAATCGTTTCTGGAATGTCATGCTGGGCACTTGCCCCTGTATGATGCCTGCTGTTTGGTTAGCTTCGTCGGAAGGTGTATAGAATGCATTGTAGCAGTAATGTTATCTATCAAGTGCTTTGGTAAATGAGTCATGAATCATACGGACTATTACAGAATAATAATAATAGTAGTATTTATAGAAGGAAACTTGGAGATCATATAGTACTTGAGTTTTTAGGCTTTTTGACTTTCTGCCATAGAATCTTTTCTTCAGATGAAATGTTGTCTTAGTCAATTATATAAAATGGGTAAAAATCATCCCATTCTGGAAGGGAGAGAACCCATGGGCATACCCACTTCTTTCTTGAGGTCTTGAGAGTTTCTTTTTTTTTTTCCATTAAGTTTATTGGTATGTTTTAGGTATACAATACAGTTACATTCATCACTGGGAACTTGTACTTTTACATGATGTATCTTGGTTCTTATTTTTTCCACATTCCCCTGCCCTCCTTTAAACCGCTCCACTCTTCCCTATTTACAAAGACTTTGTTTCCATTTTTTTCCTTGCTGTTCTTTCCTTTCCCCTTCCCCTCCCACTTCCCCTACCCCTTTAGGCCTTTTCTACCTATTTCACATTATCAATTATAATTTTGATCCTTATTTATACCTAATTTGGTATTTACACATGTGTGTCCTATTTATTTCACTTAAGAGTATGGCCTCAATGTGCATTCAACTTGAGAGTTTCTTAGAGGCTATTTTGAATACCTTTTGTCTATGGAAACCCAGACCCACACAGGGTAAATGGCTTGTTCTCTTTCACATAATTTTATTGTGCAGGGATTTCCATCACATTCCTTTTTCATTTTAGATGGGCGACAGTTTGTTGCTAATGAAAAAACCATACATAAGGTTTCCAAATCAATTAGTATGAATTCAGAGTTATCCCAAATAGTTTTATTCTCTGGTTCTGTAGTACTTTCCATAGCCCAGACATACAATTCCGTGTCACAGCTGTTAAACATCTATGGCATTTGGTCTTGTGTTTTGAGGCGGACAGCTGTACACTGTCTGCACTAGGTCTGGTCTTTTGTCTTTAAAACTTTATACTACACTTTATAATAGATAATGTGAAATAGGAAGAAAAGGGGCAAAGGGAAAAGGGAAGTGGGAGGGGTAGGGGAAAGGAAAGAAGGGAATGGAATTAATATGAGAAAATGAAAAAAAGGAAACAAAGTCTTTGTAAATAGGGAGGGATGGAGAGGTTGAAGGGAGGGCAGGGGAAGGGGGAAAAATAAGACCCAAGAGAGATTATGTAAAGGTGCAAATTTCCAATGATGTGGAGGAAAGATAGCCTATTTAATAAATGGTGTTGGAAAAACTGGATTTCAGCCTGTCAGAGATTAAAACTAGACCCATATCTATCACCATGCACTAAACTAAGATCTAAGTGGATTAAAGATCTAAATATTAAGACAGAAACACTAAACTTGCTGGAAGATAAGTTAGGTAGAACTCTTGAAGACATTGGCATAGGAAAAGACTTTATGAACAAAACCTCAGTAGCACAGGAACTAGCAGAAAGAATCAACAACTGGGATCTCATCTTATTAAAAAGCTTCTGCACTGCAAGAGAAACCACCAACAGAGCTAACAGACAACCTACAATGTGGGAAAAAAATTTTAGCAGCTGTACCTCAGACAAAGGGCTACTGTCTAGAATATATAAAGAACTGAAAAAAATCGGATGCCCCAAATTCAAAGACCCAATCCAAAAATGGGCATCTGAAATGAACAGACATTTCTCAGACAAAGAAGTAAAAGCAGCAAATAAACATAGGAAAAAATGTTCAACATCATTCGAGAGATGCAGATGAAAACAACACTGAGATTCCACCTCACCCCAGAAGGAATGGCTGCTATCAAGAAATCAACCAATAACAAATGCTAGCAGGGGTGTGGGGAGAAAGGAACCCTTCTCCATTGTTGGTGGGAGTGCAGACTGGTGCAACCACTGTGGAAATCAGTGTGGAGATACCTCAAAGAACAAGGGCTAGAGGTCCCATTTGACCCAGCTATTTCCCTGCTGGGCACTTTCCCAAAAGAATTAAAAGAATCATACCACAGAGATATATGTGTACCCATGTTTATTGCGGCACAGTTTGTAATAGCTAAAGCTTGGAAACAGCCCAAGTGCCCATCAACTGGAAACTGGATAAAGAAGATGTGGTTTTTTTTCTAAAATGGAGTACTGCTCAGCCATAAAGAATGTGAAACTAGAGACATTTATAGCTAAATGGATGCATATTGAGGCCATACTCTTAAGTGAAATAAATAGGACACACATATAAATACCAAATAGTTTCTCTAGTGTGAGAAACTGAGAGTGTAAATAAGGACTAAAAGGTATAATAGATAATGTGAAATAGGAAAAACAGGTGCAAAGGAGTGGGGGAAGTGGGAGGGGAAGGGGAACAGAAAGAAGGGAAAGGAAAAATTATGAGGAAAAAAAATGGAAACGAAATCTATGTAAATAGGGGAGGGTTTAGGGGTGAAGGGTGCACAGGTAATGGGGAAAAAATAAGAACCAAGATATATCATGTACAGGTACAAGCACCCAAAAGTAAATGTAAAATGTATACCTAAAATGTACCAATAAAAGAATTTAAGAAAAAAAAACAGATTTCCAATGATGAATGTTATTATATTGTATACCTAAAATGTACCAATAAAAGAATTTAAGAAAAAAAAACAGATTTCCAATGATGAATGTTATTATATTGTATACCTAAAATGTACCATTAAAAGGATATATAAAGTTAAAAAAAATAAAATTGTCACAGATACTTAAAAAACAAAACAAAACAAAACACTTTATACTACATTTTGACTCCTCCTAAAATACATCAAGTTCTCAATACATATTTAAGCAGGAGAGTGTTAGAAACTCTTGGAGGTAATATTCAGAGCTCACTAAAATTAATAGTTTTTATGTCTTTTCCAATTTTAAGTATCTCCTCTTCACAGTTAGAAGTGTGAGCAAAGTGCGTTGGGTGAACGGAAGCTCACGTTAAGATTAACTCTGAGGAGCGTGTGTGCTTTTCACCAGGCCGGCCTCTTGTTTCTCTTAGGAGAGTCCAGCCCCACCCGGCGCGAGGCTGTGAAGAGGAGGACCGCGGAGTACCTCACGCGGGTGGAAAGCCTCTCTGGCCTCCACCGAGGACCGCAGCCGGGCGATGGGTCTCAGGTGCGTGTTGTGCTGTGCTTTGTATCTCTTTTAGCGATTTTTTGCTATCTTGTCTCTCAGCTTTCTTTCTTTCTTTCTTTTTTTTTTCTCAGTTTTATTTCTAATTAAAGTGTTTAAGAATCTTGGTCTGTAGAATTTTATCAGTAATTTTCTTAAGTTATTGGTGGAGAGAAAAGCAATCTTAGCAAACCAGCCAATGCGGAATAACATGGGCTTTGTTTGTTTTCCCCTTTTCTTGGCCCTTTTGTAGACCCTTTCTGTACCCTGCATTTCCCTCCTGTAAAATGACACTGATTTATATTTGTGTATCAGTCTGTAGTTGGGAGCCTGGGTATTGCGGCCCACAGGTTGCTGAGAGCAGTCTTTACAAAGTGAAAAATGTGTGGAAAAGCCAAGTTCAGCAACTCTGGAGTATTGGGACGGCAGGTTCAGAGCTTGACTTTTTGATACTTTTTTTTAGTATTGTGTTTTCCTTTTGGGCTGTATTACTTACTTCTTCCCCCTGGTAATGATGATTATCTTATGTGCTGGTGGGGAGGAGTAGTTAGTTCTGTTCCCGACGGGGTTGGCGAATCAGAAGAAGCATGACATGGAGGCCTTTTGGAAACTCAGGATTCCAGGCCTTCGGAAGCCAAAGGTCCATTGTACCAAGGCCCTCAGGTGCAGTGCGTGTGCGTTACAGTTGGAGAAGCACTGCCCCAACGGTCAGTTAAAACAGAGATGGTGCTCGGTGAGAATAGGGAGCATTAAGCGACAGAGGCTGTGGGCAGGCTACACAGCGACCTAAAAAGCAAAACCCAAACCCAGGAAAACGAAAAAACAAAAGAAAGCTCAAAACAGAAACACAGGTAAGCTTCACCTCGCCTAGTGAGTAGGTTTTAATTAGCGTGCTAACCCCGATGCCGTTATAGACAGAGCCCATCAAAGCGCCACGGGAGGGTGTGTGACAGTCTGCTATGGGTCAGCCAGGATAGCGGCATGGACCTGCTGCCACGGGCTGTGGAGGTGGTGGGACCCTCAGGCCTCTGGTCTCCTCTGCCTACCGCTGTCTGTAGTCCTGGTGTAGCTGCATGCAGCCACACTTTCTTCTCTCAGTACCATCTGTTACAGAGGCTGACAGATATGAGTGAAAAATCTTACTTTTTTTCATCAAGGAAATCAGCAATGTTGACCCCTTCCTCTTTTGAAACAATTGGACTAAGTTACCCCTAAGGATATTATTTTATGAGTAAGATTTAATCCCCTTATCTCTTTCCTTACTTTGTCATCTTATATGGCTTAATTTGCTGCTGCTCAGTTTTCTCATCTGGGAGAAAAAAAAAACCCAAAAAAGTCCAACCCCACTGGGAATGTTGGCTTGATCTCTAAATTCTCTTTCTGTTCTTAAAATTCTGTGGATTTCACTATCCGAAGGAAAGAATAGATCTGTAGGATTCTACCCAATTTAAATGCTACATATAAGAAATACAAGATTTTTTTTATTGATGACTTTATTTCATGATCCTTCTTTGTTCGTTTCTCTGATCTTACACTTACAGAAGTTTAAAGTGGAGAGAGAGTTTTAATGATCACTTCGCCTTGCTCTTTCCCTTATAACAGTTTCGCCATTCCCGTCTTTGCAAGAGGAGCCTCCTGAGTCACTGTTTTCATTGGGTTCTTTCTCATACTCAATGACTTTTCTTCTCGGCATTCAAGGCCTTTAACTTTTAGTCTTCCTAGCATTCAAGGCCTGTAATGATGGACCTTGAGTGTGTAATTTTATTTTCTGTAGTTCTCCAGTTTGAATATTGTTTTTCCCCACCAGGCCAGTACCTTTTCAATCTTATATGTACTATCCTTTTCTTCACTTAATTTTCACATAGCATTTATTTATTTTATTTTATTGGAGACAGGGTTTAGGTATGTAGTTCAGGCTGGCCTTGAACTCACTATGTTGCCCAGGCTGGCCTCGAACTTTCGGCGATCTATCTACCTCAGCCTTCCAAGTGCTGCGGTCACACATGTGTGCCACCATGCCTGGTTCCACAAGGCATTTAAAGTCATGTTTAGTTCCACTTAATTCTGAGACCAGTTTCTCCTATCCTAACTAATGACTTATCTCTATAGCCCTGTGTTTTTAGGAGAATGTTTTATTTTTGTTTGACCTTTCATGTATCTGGCTTGTCTTCCCAAATAAGAATGAACTTCTGGAGGGTCGAGACCACTCATGCTGTTTGATGATTTATATCCTTTTCGGCTCCCATGCACATAGTAGGTGTACAGTAATTATTTATTGAAAGGAATGGTAGAGATTTTTGTAGTTTGCTTTCATTGTTGCAGAAGTCACCTAAGTACATAAATTTCCTTGGAAACAAAGCTCTGATGGTTATCAGGGAATACAAAAGTATGAATAGGAGCCGGGTATGTTGGAGGCATTCGATCATGATTCAAAGACAGGCCTAAAGGATGAAATAGGAAGTATTCCTTGTGCCCCATAATGTCCCCCAGATGTTGCTTTTGCAAAATCCCAAGTGGTTCTCACCCTTTTTAATAAAGTATAGCAGCAGCAGCAGTGGCAGTGGCATCTTTACTTCTGTGAATGTGTTGTGAATAGGAAGACTGCAAGCACTAGAGTAAGAAGTTGAAGTTCTGGTGGAGAATCTTCTAGTCACCGACTATAGACAAACCCCGCACTATTCCGAGCTTCCCTTCGTTTATCTGTCAGATGGGGACCGCAACAGGAACTTCCTGTGTGCTCGGCAGTCAGGATGGGGCAGGGGATAGAGATGAAATAATACAGTGTAACTTAAGATAGAAAGACCGTTTATTTCTGTTATATGTCTGTTTACACGTACAGTATTGAAATACCTTGATAAATGCTTTTATGTCCTTACATGTTCCCCTTAGATATTAAGCTTTTAGCACCTTGTGAACTGAGACATCAAATATGTATGTTTTCAAACATTTCCAAAAAGTCTCAACTGAGTTAGTTTCAGTTATTAGCATATGATCCAGTTGCCATTATTACCGACTTTCTCAGGTGTCTTTAAAAAATGAGTCCTATTGGGCTGGGGATTTAGCTCAGTGGTTCCGCTGCCTGCCTCACACGTGAAGGTCCCAAGTTTAATCCCCGGTACCAAAAAAAATTAAAAAAAAAAAGAAATATCTTT